ATATTCACCACAGATGACGCAGAGTATCAAAATAATGGTCAATGTTCTAGAAGAAATTTGTCAGAAGAAGAATGCAAGAATGTTAGAGGGAAATATCCTATAGACCAAGGGGTGGAAAACAACTATTTGATTCGTAAAATCTGGACACTCTTTCCCCTACCAAGCAATTTCAAATGCAACCCCTCAAACTCCCTGCATAAAGTTCATACGAACCCCTCGTCACTCTTTGATTCCATCAACATTCCTCTCTTAACGCGAGAAATACTTTGTTATATTATAGAAAAAAAAAAAAAAAAAAAAATAGAAGAGTATAATATCATGTTCCAGGGATTTCCAATGTATACAGGACAAGGCTATACACGCACATATATATATATAGACATCATATACAGAGTTAATATTCGTAAAATATCTTTAGAGAGTCGATTCTAGAGAATAAACACAAGTTGGTATATAAAAGTATCATTTGAGGTTTATTTATTAAGTTATAAGAAATTTAAATTTGCGTCATATAGAATGTGCCAACAATGTAAGTGAAAATGATCTCATTCTATTTCTCTTGCTTTGTCTAACATAAACTTCAATTGTCTATAATTTAATCATTTTTGTGTTTATTTTAGACTTTAGAATTTATTACAAATTATTAAATATTAAATATTATCCTATATATAAAAAAATGTATTTAAATTATTAGATACGGAAAAATAATATCATCATTAATAATATTAATAAAAAAAAAAATGTATAGATTCATATAATGGATAACTTTACAATTTTTGAAAAAATTTAAATTTTTATAAAAAAAATACTTAAATTAAATCAAAGAAATATAAATATATGATATAATAATATTGAAAAGAAATAATAACTTTTCTTAGAATTGTATTTCATAAATTTCTATAGTTTGACATATATATATATATACATATATATATATACATATAAAGATTTAATTTTTACCATAATTTCTTTCATTTTTTCTAGATCCTTCATTTTTTATATAAAAGATATATACACAAATATTTAATTTTTATGTTTATAATTATAAAAATAGTGAAATAAAGAAAATGAACAATTTGATCTATTTCAAATGTTTTCTGATTAGCCTGTACAAGTAATAATATACTATCAAATAAATAGAATATATATGTACAGACAAATTATAAAATAATAAACTAAAATATATCCAGATACAAAATTTAAACATTATCAAATTATAAAAAAATAAACATATTTGAATTTTCAAATTTTTTCTTTTTTTTTTAAATATAAAATTATAGATTATATATCTTGGATTTGTATATCTTGATTTGTCAAAATTATATTTGCATGCATTGGTTTCTAACATATTTTGGCACATTGGTAACTAACATATTTTGGCACAAACATAAACAAACTTAAAAAATTATACAATTAAAAAATTATAAAATTAAGTATAAGAGAAAAAAATGAAATATTATAAACAATTGGAATGCTTATTTTCACGTCAATATATCAAATACGAATTGAATTCTTATTTTAATCTGATTTCTCTTCTAATCTAATTATCGGTCAATCTTAATAAAATAGAATACAGTTTTGCAAATAAAAATAAAAAAGTTTATCTGCAAGAAAAAGTTTCACAGCTTTCTATATTTCATTCGTTTGATCAAAAATTGCATGAATTTTTTAAGCTTTCCAGTCTTGTCTTTCCAGTGTTGTCTTTCGTCGCTGTGTTTTTCAGAATAAATAGAAACGTATAAAATTCTTTTTTAATGTTTAGTAATGTTACATGATAAAAGAATATGAAATTTCAATATGAAATTTATTATGCAAAAAATTTTCATTAATGCATAAGATTGTGAAAATAGCTACAGATATGTAAATCATATAAAAAATTCTAATATTCTATAAAATTTTAAAATTCTATAAAAATAGGTTATATCTAGATATAAAACACTTTCTTTTAAAAATGGGCAAAACACCAGGAACGACAAATTTTTCTAATTTCAAATTTTGAAAGATCACAAGTATGTATTTACCAAAGATATGCTCATATATGTTCCGATTCCCCTTAAAAGTGTTCGTGCTTTTCTTCTGGTCGTTCCTATAGAAAACGAGGTCAGACACTTTTCGTATATTCGTAAGAATTTCACAAGAAACACAACACCAGAATGATCGTGCACTCTAGATAAAAGCAACCGTTCGGTTTTGCTGGGCAAAGATGGCGTTAATGCGATTCGTTTTGAACGTGAAGCACTTCGCACCTAATTAACTTGTTTACGTATACACGCATGCTCGAATGAAGAAAGTACATTCGCATATTTTAAGTTTTTAATTGATTTAGATATTTTAACGGCATTATACGATATTAATATATTCTTGAGATATTTTTAAAGTATCGATTAAAAATTAAAACAAATGCAAAAATTGCTATACAAAAATATCGGTTAAAATTTATTAAATTATAAGTAACTGAAGTTTACGTCAGATAAAACGAGATAGAATAAGATCGATCTATTTTCGTTACATCGCATTCTGTTCGCATCTCACTTCACTTAACTTAAATTGCTTATGATTTAATAAATAAGCGATATTTTTGAATATCAACTTTTATGTTTGTTTTAGCTTTTAAAATCGATTTTTCAAAAATATTCCACGAATATATTCTATGCATTCATTTCCCATATAATAAAGAAATGAAGGTCAAGTTCAATATATACTTATAAATTCAATTTTAATAAATATTCCTGAATTTTTATTATTATTAAAATGATAAAATTTTAATTAGTATTACTTATAATGTAATTAATTTGTATCAAGTTTGGTTTTGAATTCTAGCATATATATACCTAAATAAGGTATATTTCAAAAACATATTATATTTTTAAGTTTAATTAAAAATTTAGTTAAAAGAAATCAAATTTTTCATAAATAATATTCAAATCTTAAAAATAAAAATTTTAAAACAAAACTTCGTATAATAATTATAATGATATCTATTCTATTGATATAGATATTATCATTATATAAAGATATTCAAACACAATTCTTGATAAAATGAATTATCTATCTTTGAATTTATCGATCAAATAATGGATAATAAAGAATTTGCTTGATGATTTAAATATTGCAATGTTTGATAATTTTCCATTTTTAACTCAATAGTAGATAAGCTAGATAAGTATATTATTATTCATAATTATTAGTTTATTATCAAAGGGCGATCAAAATGATTTATTATTTTTTTGATTTATGATATATAAATTGTTATACTGTAGAAAAAGTTGGTGATTAAATTATTATTGTAAATATGCTTCATCAATTAATGTATTCGCCGATATAATGTATTGCCCGAGAAATATATTCGATTTTAAAAAAAGATAATATTTTAAATCATGAATTTATTAATGTACTTAACATACAAAAACTATTTGTCTTCAATATTATAATATAATATATCAGTTTGTAAAGTATGTACAATATTAAAATCGTTAATGAAAACGTACAAAATAGAATAATTAATTATTTCTTAATTGCTATTATTTTAGATTTATATCATTCCCACTATTAAATTTATTCCATTAATTTAAAAGAACTTGCAATATGACTGTATTAATATTAAGAGCATTCCACTTTTAATAATTTGAAGTTATATTATATTTTCATGATATATTATATTTTCAAGCTAAAGCTAAATTTACTTCACATTTCTACTAATTTTTGCATGTCTAAATTTCCCGCTTTTTATAATTCATTTACCGTTTCAATACTTAAAATATTTAAAATATAATATTAATCATCGATATTTATCACGAATGCAACAATTAATAGATTTCCTCATTATCAAATTCGATATATATGTATAATATTAATTGTAACTTGAATAATTCAATAACTATTATAACTAATTATAACTATTATATTATATATTTGCTGCTATTATTTTCCATACTTTAAATATTTTCATTTATTAAAATACTTAGATAATATAAATTATGTAATATTTATATAATATTTATATTAATTTTCCATAGAAATATTTTATTTTAAAATATTTAAAAAAAATTTATTCAATAATAATTAATGTTTCTTAATCTTCTAAAAAAATTCATATTATTAGAAGATCCATTATGATTTCTAATTTCTTTCCGCTTTCTAATCACAGAAAACTTTTGCACTTCACTTGCCAACAACAATGAAATATTTTCAAGTGGCTACATTATCTTGGCCGATATCCAACGAAATTGTGCTAGACTGACCATCGTTAGAATTGAATTAAGGATAGCATAGATTCTCTCATTCGTAGCCAATGAAATTCAAACAGTTTAATAGAAGCGAATTGCAGTATCCTATTTGTGGTAAATTAATTGCAAAGTCGCACTGTTAATAATTTTATCTAAAATTTTATGCCGTTACACGAATTCAAATTATCGTTGTAAATCGAACTATATCTGCGAATATTATGCGAATTATCGGTGTATTCATTATAAATCAACTTTCTTTAAAATTTTTAGAGAACTGATACATTCTTGTTTATATATAGATCAATGATTACGATTAAAAAACGAAATGCCACATTAATTTCTATCTATTAAAACATTTCTTAAAAGTGAATAACACTTGTTTAAAGTATTTTTCATTATTTTGCATAATTAAAAATAATTATATAATTATGATACGAATGTATTATTTGTTCCTATAACTAATTTCTATAACCTCAAAAACCAGTATTAACAATGAAACAATCACATAGTTCATTTAACATCTTAAACTAGTTATATTCGATTATATTAAACTAGTTATATACGATTTATATTTTTATAGGATTTATCAGACAAAAAATCTTTTTTCTATTAAATTAAAAAAAAATTCAATATTTAGTATATTCAAAATTTTTCACTGCTGCTTTTTGTTTGAATATTTAATCTTTATATATTTAATAATCAAATAATGGCTGTAATAATGGCTATATAAATGAAATAAATATCATGAATAAAACAAATAAATTATTAACTTACACATATGTTCACCAAGCGGCCAGATTTCTGGTCCAGAATTCACCTCAACAAGAATGGTTGGTGTACAGATCAAGAGAACGCAGAGATCCGCTACACTCAAATTCACTAGAAAAATATTCGTGCTATTCCGCATATCTTTGCCTCGAAACACGACGATTGGTACCTGAGAAAAAAGTTGTCAATGTTGGTACTTCTGATGTTCGAACATGAAATGCACGGTATGAAATATGCAAGATATATTAAAAAATGCTAAAACATTGTAAAAAGATAACATAAAAAGATATTTTTGAAATAAATATATAATGTGATTTTATGGAAAATTATTCTTATCTTCATCGGAAACAAAAATTTGGAATACTTGAAATTAATTTTGAAAAATTTCATGTATAACATTTTATATTAAATTCTTATAATATTATAAATATTTTATATTAAATTCTTATAAGCATTATTGGAAAATAACTAACAAGAGATAGGTAAAATCGATCAATAGAAAACTTACCATAAGATTTCCAATTATGCCAAGAACCATCACTATAATGCAGGTAATCATAGATGTATTGCGAATATAAGGGGGTAACATGTAAAGATCTGTCGCATTTCTAGACTCAATCACTGAAATGTTATTATTTATTTTTGACTAGATTAAGTAGATAGAAAATTACTTGAAAACTCTTACATATATTGATATTTTTTAGATAAATTTATATTTTCTAGATTAGAATTTAATAAATATTCTTTTTTTATTCATAGATAAAAAAAACCTAGTTTTCATAAAATAATATTATTATGTTTCGATTAAAATGATTATTAAATCCATCTATCTTTTGACATATAATTCTCGATAACGAAAATATGTTCATCATTGAATAGCATAGCTTCTTTCATATCTTTTTATTTTAACATGTATTTTTGTTCAATAACCCAATAATAACGCAAAAAATAATAAAATTAAATATGACATATGAGCATACCCGATAATGCATCGAGACCGTTGTTCCCGGTAACAGTTGTATAATATGAAGAATTCAATTCGAGTGGAATACTGGATACTGTAGACAACATTTTTACTGTGCTTTGTTCATCAGGATTTCCAATTGTATATATCTGCTTCGTGTCACGATAATATTTTTGTACCAATTGCCGTATGATTCCACTTTTGTTTACAACGATTCATACAAACACTTGTCACACCACAGTTTACTCAAAATTAACACTACAAATCAAGCTTATATATTTACGAATCATGGTTAACCTCACTAAAAGTTCATTGGATGCTGTATTCAAATAGTCAGTAACTCTTTTATGTCGGTTTTACATTTTTACATTACAGTTTTACATTTGGGCCGATACAGATTCGCGAATTCGAAACATTATTGCAAACGGCACTGAATTCCCAAACACACGGTGACAAAATCCATGGAGAATCGTAAAAGAAACGCTAGCTCTATTGGACGAACGTCATATATAGTTTCCTTTAACCTCCAAGCAACCGTGATTTTCGTTAACGCGATGGTATTAAGTAACATTATAAACTGCTTTCTCATGACTACGAAGTCGTTTCGCTATCTTAAGCCAATGACACTTTCGAGACCAGCAAATTCTATCTGAATCGGTAATCAATCGTCCCATAGTGTGCAAGAGTTTCGATCTTAACCACATATTCGTCATTTCTTTAAGATGATCCATTTAAGCTTAATCCTTTAGATCTCTGTGTTGTCGTGTTTACGAACTAAATGATTCTTATAATTATTTAGTTTATTTTTTATAACAAATTTTAATTTTATACTAAATTGTCTTTTTAAAATTTATATTGATATAAAAATGAAATTACAAAAAAATATAACCTAACCTAACATAATGTAATCTAGCTCGTCTCCAATATGATTATAATTTATTCATATCTAATCGGAAATTAGTCAATTTCGTTAATATTTGAAAAATTTTTAAATTTACTCAAAAATGAAGTTTTAATAAAAAGATATTTAGAAATATTTATTTTGATATTTATATTGATTATTTAATATCGTTTAAGTTTACGCGAATCTTTATAATTTATTGAAAACAAAGAGTTCATAAATAAAGATTAAAGAATAAATGATATAATATTGGTTTTTGAAACGATCACAATAAAAATAATAAAAGTATTTTCAATGAATGTCAAACTTATTTCAGAAAAAATCATATCGATAAATTCAGAAATAATCGAGAAATATACATATATGTATAAATATTATTCAATTCATTAGATCTTTGCATGTGATTGTTCTATTTATCTTCTATAAACATGATATATATGAATTGATCTCAAGTATCTATGTTTATAATTAAAATCAATTAACCTTTCTTACTACAAGAATCTATTCGCAATCTATATTCTATTCTTATCAATGAAACATATATTATATTTATGAAATGATTTGTCTCAACAATTTTATCAATTTTCACTTTTATTTAATGATTTCTATTTAACTAGTTATAGTCTTATATTTTACAATTTTTCAATTTTATTTTTTTCTCAATATTAATTTAATTTTGATTTCAAAGTAATATTAATTGTCTTATTTGATGAAAATAGAATAAAATAAAAGAAAAACAAAGATATATAAAAATAATATTTGACACTATTAATATTTTGAAAAATGAGTTTTCTATTCTAATATACTACTTCTAATATACTCTAATATCATGAAAATAATAATTATTCATGTTTTGATTTTGAAAATAAAATTTAAAATAAAATTCTACATTTTTTAAAAAATTTTTTGAAAAATTTTCAATCATATTGTAAATGAATTCTTTTTTTTTCTGCTAAATTGAAGATCATTCAGATTTTACTTAAATTTAAACAAACATTGAAATTTCAATTTTTTAAACAATGAAATGATAACAATTAAACTATAATTTCAGTTTAAAGTAAAACGGAAATTATTGGGATTTTATTTTTGAATAAAGAACAAAAAGTTCTACACATATAACCTATAAAATGATATGATTATTAATTAAAATTGTATAATTAATTTCTTTTTGAAAATTTTTCAATTATATATATATAATATTATTTCAATTATAATAATTTAATTTAACAATAAACGGAACAAAAACTCAATCGATCTCAAAATCTATTTCATTATTCATGATAATTATCTATTTAATATCACTAATGATTGCGCTTTTCGATTTTGCAAACGACACGAATGATTCACTTCGGGACTTTCTTTGCTTTTAATTTCTTTATATAATTATATTTCTTATAATAATCTGCCCACTGACTGGAAAGTATTTAATGACGAGGTTTTGCTTAAAAAAAAAGAAATCATGACAAACTTTCGATATTTTCACTTTATGATCAAAAAAGAAAAAGTAACGAATTAACTTTTAATCTACAACATTTTAAATAACTTTTTATTTAAATCTCGATATTAATTAAAGAGTTAAATGATGTAGTCAGTTTGAATAATAAATGATTATGTTACTTATTGATATAGTATGTACTGTAAAATCATGTTTCATTGCTTTCTATTCTCTAGAATTAAATCGTAACCGAAATAACTTTAAAAGAATTGATCAATATGTCAATTATACATTTTATTAAATTAAATAAATTTTTTCATTGGCTTTAGATTCTCTTACCCATAACCACAATTTCCGTAATAATATATATTGAGAAGGAAAAACACAACTGACTGTGAAATCGAACACACAGTTCAATGATTATTTTCAATTTTCGTAAAACTTCACAAATTTCCTCATAAATATTTTCACTCGTCTCTACCAGTACGTTACTGAACTTCATTTAATCTTATACATATATTTCACATGAATAATTCGATCTGTGTTGTATTCATAGATCTAGGCGACCTCTCTGACACGGTACTTCGTAAACGTTCGTCAATTACGATCACGTTGCGTTTCGAAACATGTGAAACCGTTATTACTGTTATTGCAACTTAAACTATCGCGAAATTGGAAATTCTGATGGATACGAATAACACGTGATAGCCAACAATTCGAAGTGAACACATTTTCAAAATCACGACAACCGCAGCGAGCAAATAGTACCGGCAAACTGAATGAACATAGCTTGGCCCGCCACGATTCTCGAACGCGCTGTCTTCATTGCGCATGCTCAAGCTTCTTTTTCCCTCGATTCCTTTGCACACGCGTTTTGATAACGTAGCTAATTTTATTTTCATTATACCACTTATTACACACGAAATTATATAATTTTGTTAATAAAAAAATATTACATAATTATTTTCATATTCTTTTATATTTTATAATATAGAAATTTTTTATTTCTTGTTTTTTTAATAAAAATCAGTGAAAATGAATAAGATCGATAAATTGATATATCGTATTAACTTTTTAATTTTGAATTCTATCATTAGTATAACATTATAGTATTATATACTAATAATATAAATAAAAATTTTTGTATTGTAACAAGAATAAATATGTATATGTATATCTTTTTTAAAAATATATCTATCGAATTGCAAATATTTATTTTTTTTTATTGTTTGAGAGTTGATATTTTTTAAATATCAAACTCTCTAAAGGATTAATAAATCAATACATGCATTCTTATGATTATCTTATGATTTTAAATGTATTAATGAATTTAAATGAAATTAATTAAGAAAAAAAAAAAAAAGAAAAGAAAGAAAATAGTAGTGAAAAAACAGAAAAAAACGTTTCTATTGAAACAATAGATATTCGTAATTGCATAGTATGATTCAAACGTGATCAAACTTAATCCTGAAGCTTTTAAAATCGAATTTTCAAAACTTAATAATAAAATGCATTGATGGGTTAAGACGAAAATCATTAAGATAGTTTCAAATATTTCTATAGAAAAAGAAATCTATATTTCAATTTTCTATTAAGATAGGAAATCGAAAAAAGGATTTGATGCTTAATACTATACGTTGCATATATCTGATCTCTCTAAAAATTTTTCATTGATTATGTGCAATTAATATTATGTGCAAAATAACGAAAAGGATTAAACATGGAGAGTTTCGACTATAATCTAAAAGATTGTAGAATTTAATCTCGAAAAAAAAAGTTAATTAAATTTCATTTCTTTTTTATCCAATCATTTCTTATTAGAATGGAGAATATAAATTTTTCTCTCTATGAATTATAATTTTATTTTGTCTTTTGTATCTTCTCCAATTTTTATTTAATATCATTTTTTTAAATGCTTTTTTACTTCTTTTAGTTATTAATATATTGGGATAAAATGCTATTAGTATATATATACATCCTCTTTTTAAAAATATTTTAAAAAAATAATTTCAAAGTATATTTTTATAATTTGTCTAATGACATTTTTTATTGTACATGAAGTTGATTGACTTAAACAAAACTCTTATGATGAAACAGAATTTTTTTTGGTTTATTATTAAATTTATTATTTTTATATTTATAACTTATAAAATCTTTCTAATTATAGATTTTTTTAGTAAATCTAATGTGTCATAACTTTTGTAATAGATTAATGTAATAGATTAATTCTGCTAATTAATTAATAATTTGTATAATAATATTTAATAATTAATGTAGAATATATATCATACGATTTATAAAACTTCTCTATACTCTGTATTCTATACTCTAAACAATTTCCAATTTAGAATAAATAATAAGTTTATAAATCCAAAATATTATTTATTTATTACAAAATTTAAAGTTTCAAACATTAATTCATTTTACTTTATTTTTATCATTGTCATTTAATTTTCATCTAAAAAAAAAAGTTTGTATATTAACTCGATTTAAGAAATTATGATATTATCATACATGTATTCATAATTTTGTGATTTTCTCTGTCTTTCCCGATCCTTCAACATTTGCAATCGATTGAAACGCAAGGAAAGAGCGTTCGTGGGACCTTATTTCTTCGAGACGCATTTCGAAACGATCCTCTGTGTTACAAAGTGGCAACAAAAGAAGAAGACACATGTTAAATAGAATTCCGTATTAGGAATCCAAGCACATTCCATTTACCTCTGTCCGCTTTATTAGCCAATCGAAATGTTTTGTCAGTTTTGTTATTTTCAAAGAGATAATATTTAATGTAATATTTAATGAATGGCGATATCCGGAACATAATTGATGTGTTCTGAAAAAAAATGGAAAAAATGAAAAGCAAAATTGAAAAATTTTATTTTTAAAAAAATATCTTATATGAGAATATTGTGATATTTTATTTAAATGTTATTTATATATGTTTTTAACAAATATCGAATAATGTCATTATAATAAATTATTATATATTATTATATTAATTATAATTATTATTATAATTTATAATAATTTTTCAAGTTTCGTTGATCTCTTTCTATTGATTATTAATTTATCAAGTATTTTTATTTTTAGATGGAAAAGAATGCAATAAAAAATAATACCAATGATATTTTCAATAATATACGAATAGAAAATTTACATTATTTTCTCGAAAGATTAATATGAATATTTGAATCCAATTAAAATCATAAAGGATCCTATTCACTATCCATTTGGCATAATCTGATTTTATCAAATAAAGAGAGAATGAGAAAGGAAGATAAATATGCTTCCTATCAATTTAAAGTCTAGATCTTCGTGATTTATGAATTATTTATCATGTAACAGACAAATATTTACAATTGTTAAGTAATCTCTATATTAAATAATATTCTATATTAATATAGGGAAACAAGTTATTTCTAATAAAATATCTTTGTATGATTTT